TTTTGTATACTTTCTGGAATTTTGTTGTAAAAGCGTATACATCGCATCAAGAATGAGTTACACTCGGTGGAGTCGAGTAACTGGTACTATTGGCTTGCGTTTGTTATCGGCCGTAGCATCCACTTATCATCAGGTGGCTGTATGCTCGTTCGTCATTCTTATTCCATAACAAAAAAACATCAATAAGTCTCACTTACACGTCCTTCGACGTAATTTTGCCCTTCTGTGAATCAATGAAAGCTCTAGCAAGAACTCCCGTGTGATGAGGCTCATTGGGGCAGCAGTAAATACGGATGGTATTGTCCAAGAAGCAATACTGAAAAGAAAAATCAATTAAGAGTGAAACAGTAAGAGCACATTGCGCATAATTTCTTTCTTTTTTGCATTTTTCTCTTTTTAAAAAACGTAACGGATTTTCTCCTGTATCGTGGAGGCAGTTTACAAACATAGATTGCACAAGAAAAGAAAAAATATCGAGACCCGGAACAGTTATGTGTAGGCCATACAAGTACTTATTACGTTCTGGATGCGAACTAATCCACACTGTCACGGAACCGTCGAAGAGAGTATCATGTCCTATGGTGTGAACACAGGCCTCCCCCATAGATTGCCTCGTTGAGGGATATTTGTCATAATTGTAATTGTTGGCAACTTTATTACTGGCAACATCGTCCGCCCCTCTTCGTGCACAACGGATGAGAAGTGGAAAGGGAAATGTTATAAAATAGGGTGCATCATGATTCTTAGGTATTCTCACAGACTACTTAGTGGATACTACGTATGGTATTCTGTTTTGAGAACACGTCTCTGGTATATAGTGTATTATCTATGGAGAACACGCGTTGAATTAGTCAAAGTGTAATTAAGTGTCGTGATTACAAAAACTGTAACATTGAGTGCTCTGTACAAATATTAATTGAATACATATATTGTGTCATAAGTGCATATTTATTTATAATAAATTATTTTATATTTCATTGTGTTAACATCAGAAGTGGGATACAGTCCCTGTTATCGTCCACATATAGTCTTCGAATAGTGTGATAGTTATTAACTTTGTGAAAGACTTCGCGTTGATGTCTTTGTTTTTATTAAATGTCGAAATGAAATTTGCTGTATTTACGACATTGATATACCATTAAAGTGTAGAGTAAAAGTTTAAAGTGAAATGTTTTAAGCTAAAAGTTAAATAGTTTTGTTCAATTAACATTCAATTGATAATAAGTTACCCGCAAGTTTATTTATTATTCTTTTACGTAAAAATGTCGAGAGAAATGTTGGAGGTATGTTAAGATGAGTTATAGTTTTGCATTCAGTGGAAATTTAACATGCTAGAGTTATGTTATAATTTGATATTTGGTGTAATTTACATGGACTAATTTTAAAGTTCAACATGATTAAACGATAAACCAAAAAAAAATGCTTAACTTTAACGTGCTATGAATTAAAAACACTAAGTAGTATTTTTGTATTCTAATGTGTTGACAAGTGTTACAGTTTAATCCAAGTGTTATGTGTTCAACAAAATTGGGATTAAATGTTGAGGATATAGTGGAAGGCGTGGTGCTGTGGCGCTCGCTCTTGAGTGGAAGTATGCTGTGGGCTTATGACGCCACATACACGTTATGTGCCGCTGCTAGCAATCACCATTTGATTCACGAGGAAAGCAAATTTATCTTAAACATTGTCTTAAAACTATTTTGTAAGAATAAGTGCTTAACTTTTTAATTAGTTGCGGAAAAACAAAGTACGAGTGTAACTGACGAAATCGAAGTAAATCAAATTAGTTTTGACATTGAAGAGCGTATTTAACTTTACATTAGGATCACACTCAGCTCAGTATATGGAGCACAAAGAAGTTGACTTGGAAGTATGACTGGTCAAATTAATGAATAGGTGCACATAATTGCTCACTAAATGCTCAATTCAAATCTGCAATTGCTCACATTATTAATTTATTATTTAAATAGTTATTAATAATTTAAAATATAGAATTGTTTTTGTCTATTATACTCAAAACCAATAAACTTTTTTTTAAATGAATAACTGCCCATAATTGCTCACAAAATGCTTAATTTAAATCCGCAAATGCTCACACTATTAATTAATTATTTAATTATTTATTAATATTTTTAAATAAAACTAATTTTACGGATTTTATCGCGTATATTAACTTATTTTTTAACTTATTTTTATATTCCTGTGATTATATATTTATTATAAGATTGTGAATGTGGTCTCTCGTACATAGGACAAACAAAAAGATCTATTAAAACCCGCGTTAAAGAACATATAGCTGACGTGAAGCACCGACGTATCGGGAAGTCTGCAGTTTGTGAACATGTTCAGGATCGTCCCCGTCATTACATTAGATTTGATAGACCACAAATCCTCGCAAAAGAACACCGATTCCTCCCAAGGATGATTCGCGAGGCTATTGAAATTAAAAAACATCCTAATTTCAATAGAGAAGATGGATGGGTGCTGCCATCTGCTTGGGATCCCATAATTAATAAAATCAAATCCAAACCCAAGTATACCACTGCTAGACTTCAAGATACTGTAAGCTCATTCTGCGTAAATCGAACCAAAAATTAATATTAAAAAACTGAAGGTAGCCGGGCTAACTATGACAGCAGGACGTCAAACAACTCAGTCCCCCGTGACCACGGGTGCTGGAAAGCACCCGAAACGTCGGGAATATAAAAATAAGTTAAAAAATAAGTTAATATACGCGATAAAATCCGTAAAATTAGTTTTATTTAAAAATGTGTAGTGTTCGCGTAAATATAAGAAATCATTATTTATTAATAATTTAAAATACAAAATTGTTTTTCCTAAACCACTCAGATTAATGAATAAGTGCTCATAATTGCTCACTAAATGCTCAATTCAAATCTGCAATTGCTCACATTATTCATTTATTATTTAAATATTAATTAATAATTTAAAATACAGAATAGTTTTTGTCTATTATACTTAAAACCAATAAACCAATTTTAAAATGAATAAGTGCTCATAACTGCTCACAAAATGCTTAATTGAAATCCGCAATTGCTCACACTATTAATTAATTAATTACTTATTAATAATTTAAAATACAAAATTGTTTTTTCCTAAACCACTAAGATTAATGAATAAGTGCTCATAATTGCTCACTAAATGATCAATTGAAATCTGCAATTGTTCACATTATTAATTTATTATTTAAATAGTTATGAATAATTTAAAATACAGAATTGGTTTTGTCTTTTCTACTTAAAACCAATAAACTTATTTTTAAATGAATAACTGCTCATAATTGCTCACAAAATGCTTAACTTAAATCCGCAATTGCTCACACTATTAATTAATTATTTAATTATTAATTAATAATTTAAAATACAAAATTGTTTTTCCCTACACCGATCAGATTAATGAATATGTGCTCATAATTGCTCACTAAATGCTCGATTCAAATCTGCAATTGCTCACGTTATTACTTTATTATTTAATTAGTAATTAATAATTAAAAGTACAAAATTGTTTTCGTCTGTTATACTTAAAACCAATAAACTAATTTAAAAATGAATAAGTGCTCATAATTGCTCACAAAATGCTTAATTGAAATCCGCAATTGTTCACACTATTAATTAATTACCAAGATCCCTCCTGGTGTTGCTCTCATCTGTTCGTAATGTTTCATCATAATCGGTTCGGATTAGTTCGAACAGATAGACAGACAAAAATTTTAAAAATGGTTATTTATTTTTTAGTAGCATGCAAATACACCCCTGAGCTTCTTAACAGTAGCCAGTTCTCTGCTCACTCTAGAGCTAGACGGGGAGAGAATATCTCGTAGCTATAAATCCAACTTTTTGTACATTGTGTACAAACAAAGTTCAAAGAAATAAATAGGTTTGGAGAGATTGACTAAGAGAAAACGCCTAGATAATTCTGTAGCATCAAACTTAGTGAAATATGGAGCGAAAGAAATTTGCAAACTTTTCACTGATCAATCGACCAATAAATCTGACAACTGATTGATATGCTCATCCAAGAATTATCATCATGATCATTACAGCCTTTCACAAGTACACTGCTGAACATAGGCCTCCCCCAAGGAATGCCACAAAGCACGGTCCTGAGCCACCGGCATCCATCGACTTCCTGCATGTTTTACTAAGTCGTCACTCCATCTAGTGGGGAGTCGTCCTACACTTCGCCTACCGGTACGAGGCTGCCACTCGAAAACCTTTCTTCCCCATCGGTTGTCGGTTCTTTGAGCTATATGGCCGGCCCACTGCCACTTCAGCTTACTAATCCGTTGGGCTATGTCGGTTACTCAGATTCTACTGCGGATATCCTCATATCTAAGAAACCCCGAGCATAGCCCTCTCCATAGCTCGCTGAGCGAACTTGAGCTTCCTCATACGGCCAGCAGTGAAGGGCCATGTCCAAGAATACCATAGCTAAATTCGGCTTGCCCAGAGTGTTAAGTTTTGCCTTCGGATTGGCAGTAGCATCTTCCTGATAACATCTCGAAATAATAAAAAAACTGTGGTTTCAGTCCCGCCTTCCACTCGTGGCAGCTTTTTTATAGAATAAGGGTGACAAACGGGCACACAGTCTACCTGATGGTAAGTGGATGTTGTTACTCATAAGTATCTACATTTATCCCCGATTAAGAATTAAAATTCAGATGCGTCATCACCCCCGAAGACTAAGATGGAATGCTTTGTTTCTAGTAAAACAGGTCTCCGGTTCTCTACACTCACTACACAAAACAGCAGCATTAAGCTGCTATTTCACGCTGTTATTCAGTGAGAGTGTGGTCCTACCCCAGTCGAGCCTACCCTTGCGTGCTACAACCATAATATAGGTGCAGTGTGGCTCTACCACGTAAAAAAAGAGTGGTCATTGTTCTTTGTCAAACACAATTTATATTAAGTATCATTAAATTTCAGATTCTACTCTCATGGTCCCTCGCACTTGGCATCAATGGTGTCATAACAGATACAATGAAGTTAATAGTTGGTGAGTTTGTAGTATATTATTAAACTGCTCAGCTTAATGTAAAATCAGTCCGGTAGTTAGACAAAAAGTAAAAAATTACTAGTAAGAAATAATTAGGCTAGTTTTATATAAAAGTTCCAAATCCATAATGTCACGATGCTTGGACTAAATTTGGATAAAATTTTTCTACCGACTTCAAAAAGGAGATGGTACTCAATTCGCCTATGTTTTTTTTAATGTGTGTTACCTCATAATTTTCTTCTTTTATTATTTGATAGCTGATGCTTCTCAACTTCTCATGTGGTCCCATGTATATTTGATCAAGGTCTGACCAGTAGTTTTTGAGTTACTCTTTATAATTTATATAGAAGTCGGTTGTACAAAATTTTAAATTTTAAATTATAACTGCTCAGGGCGACCGCGTCCGGATTTCTTCTACCGTTGTTTCCCCGACGGCGTGGAGACCGCCGAACTTCAGTGCACGGGGGATCCGATGGACGTAATGGAGGGACGCAAGTCTTTCCCCAGTGGGCACAGTAGTTGTGAGTATGGACTGTTATAACAATTTGAAAAGAGAGTGACAAAGCATGAATATATTGCAGAAGTGAACGGCAGAGTCGGCAAGGGACGCCCTAGACGAAAGTTGATCGACCAAATTGGCGATGATGGTCCAGATTAAAAGTACCTTTAAACGACGAGCATGTATGCGTAGGTATATGGATGTGGAGGTAGCCAGAAAGGTGTGTCAGGATCGTGCCAAATGGAAGTCCGTAGACTGCCTACCCCTCTGGGTGACAGGCGTGAGTGTTTGATTTATGATAGGCACAGGTCTCTGCTTATTTCTGAGGGGGGGGGATATCCGCACTTTTTGACGGATTTCACAATTTTGATCCATCCACAGCTGATCATAGAGGCATTCCATCTTAGTCCTCAGGGATGACTGTGTGCTCGCTTGTCATCCTTATCTTATTAAAAAAATGGAGTGCTATACGTATTACTTATGTAGGAACGGAACGTAAATAGTAGGAGAGAGAGGGGAGATGTGTGTGAGCGAGTGGCAAGAGAGAGGATTGATGTGATGTGATACAGGGGGAGAAAGGAACATGACGCTACTTACACTATGCTGTATGGTGTCAGACGTAGGAAGTAGGGTTTTGGCGGGAACTTGTCCGGCGGCGGTTTGCTGCTCTCGTATTATCGTTCAAATAATAGTTTGAAGTGGTATTTGATTTTATTAAGTGTCTGCGCATGTGAACTATTAGTGGAAACTGTGAAACAAGTGTTCTGATGGTGATGTGATTCTTAAGATAAGGTCTCTGCTTAGGCGCCTAGAGATACCGTCGCCAACTGTCAGCTGTCTGCTGGCTCAAATTGCCGTCAAAATCTCCAAAGTGTTGCACAATGTGACACATCAACATATTGTGAAGCAATGTACTATAAAGGATAATCATACATTGTAACTTCAGGCTCAGAAGGGCTAGAACCTAGAGCCGTAAAGTCTGTTATAAAAAAAAAACGTAGGAAGTAGTAAGTAATTTAAAAAATATATTTTTTAAGTGTTTTTAAAGTTTCATTTCGTGCCCAGTCCCACATGTAGGATGTGTTTGTTTTGTAAGCATTTTGATTTCTTATATTTACGCGAAGACTACACATTAAGTGAAACTAATTTTTACGGATTTCATCGCGTATATTAACTTATTTTATATTCCCGACGTTTCGTGCACCTTACAGCACCCATGGTCACGGGGGGGACTGTGAAACACCTTCACGTCCCGATGTCAGCCCAGCTACCTTCAGTTTTTTGAATATAAATTTATTACATGCGTAGATCGGACACATGTAATAAATTTATATATTACATGCGTGCCGTGTAGTGGCGGTTAAGAATATCCACTACCCCATATCTTCCCGTGGGTGTCGTAAAAGGCGACAAAGGGAAACAGGCAGGAGATGGGCAGCAGCATCTTCCTGATAACAGCAAAATTACAATAAAAAAAGCGTGGCAACTATGGCAAATACCCCCCAATGATGAGAGCAAGAAAGAGACGGCCCCCAGTCCCCGGCGGCCCCGCTATTCCTGGCTACGTTGGCGACAATGTATGAGGATACCTCTAGAGCCATGCATTCCTCCAAAACCAACTATACGGTGTTAATGGGAGACTTCAATGCAAAACTAGGCACAAGAGAGAACGGTGAGCTGAAAGTAGGGAAATTTGGAATAGGGCAACGGAACCCAAGGGGCCAGCAGCTGGCAGACTTCATGGAGAAAGAGGGACTCTTTATGATGAACTCTTTCTTCCAGAAGCGGCCCCACAAGAAGTGGTCGAGCCTCGACGGTTCGACAAAAAATGAGATTGACTTAATTATGACGACTAGACGACAACTGTTCAGTGATGTCTCCGTGATCGCGAGGGTGAAAACTGGTAGCGATCACCGAATGGTTAGACACACTGAACCTAAATGTTAAGTTGGAGAGGTCTCGTCTAATGAAGTCAACGCTCCGTCCCCCTCGTGCTCTAGTCCAAAGTCCCGAAACCTTTCAGCTCGAGTTACAAAACCGTTTTCAGTGCCTAGAAGACTGCAATAAAGTGGACCATATGAATGACAAGCTTGTGGAAACTGTCTATGCGGTCGAAGCTAAGTTCTGCAAGACCCGCCGCAGAAGAACACAAAAACTGTCCGATCACACTCTTAATCTCATGGTTGTTAGACGGGAGATGAAGCTACATTCTTCAACAGATTTGACAGCATACAGGCAACTGAACAGACAGATCTCTAAATGTATGCGGCGGGACTTTCGCAACTTCAATACAGCTTGTATTGAAGAAGCGATCGAGCGGAACCAAGGCTCCAAAGTCTTTGCCAGAGATCTGCCTGGCAGAAAGAGCCAACTGTCAAAGCTGAAGACCGAGTGTGGCAGCATCGTTTCCAGGACACCTGAGATTTTGAGTGAGATTGAGAGGTTCTATGGGCAGCTAGCTGTACACGTCATCGTTGGAGCCACACGCAAGTGTGAGTAACGATCCAAGAGCGAGTCTTATCCGACACTATTCCGAAGATATTTCGGACGTCAGTCTGAGCGAGATTAGAATGGCTCTCCAGCACCTTAAAAACGACAAGTCCCCGGGCGAGGATGGAGTTACAGCGGAGCTTTTGAAAGCGGGTGGAAGACCGGTCTTTGAAGTCCTTCAGAAGCTCTTTAATTCCGTCCTCCATGGTGGCACTACTCCGGAGGCGTGGAGGAGAAGTGCGGTGGTTTTGTTCTTCAAGAAAGGCGACAACGCTCTCTTGAAGAACTACAGACCGATTTCCCTTCTGAGCCGCGTCTACGTGCTGTTTTCTATAGTCATTACGAATCGTCTCGCACGCAGACTTGACGACTTCCAGCCTCCCGAACAAGCCGGTTTCCGAAAAGGCTTTAGTACCATAGATCACATACATACCCTGCGGCAGATTGTACAGAAGACAGAGGAGTATAATCTGCCACTTTGCCTTGCGTATGTGGACTATGAGAAAGCCTTTGATTCCGTCGAAATTAGGGCGGTGCTGCAGTCCCTTCAGCGATGCCAAGTTGACTGTCGGTATATCGAAGTGTTGAAGTGTTTGTACAGTAGAGCTACTATGGCTATCCGAGTACAGAATCAGAGTACGAAACCTATCCAATTGCAGAGAGGTGTAAGACAGGGTGACGTTATATCCCCGAAACTTTTCACCGCTGCATTGGAAGACGTTTTCAAGCTACTGGACTGGAAAGGATGCGGTATTAACATCAATTGCGAGTACATCACTCACCTTCGATTTGCCGACGATATATTCCTTATGGCAGAATCGCTGGAGGACTTAAGCACTATGCTCAATGACCTCAATAGTGTCTCCCGACGGATAGCTCTTAAGATGAACATGGACAAAACAAAATTCATGTTTAACGTCCATGTCACACCATGCCGGTAGTTGTTGGGAGCACTAAGCTCGAAGTTGTTGACGAGTATGTTTACCTGGGACAAATAGTCCGCCTAGGTAAGTCCAACTTCGACCGAAAGGTCAATCGACGGATTCAACTCGGCTGGTCAGCGTTCGGGAAACTACGACACATCTTCTTGTCAGGTATACCTCAAAACCTGAAAACGAAATTGTACAACCAGTGCGTGTTGCCAGTGATGACTTACGGATCTGAGATATGGTCCTTCACTGCTGGCCGTATGAGGAAGCTCAAGGTCGCTCAGCGAGCTATGGAGAGGGCTATGCTCGGGGTTTCTTAGAAATGAGGATATCCGCAGTAGAACCAGAGTAACTGACATAGCCCAACGGATTAGTAAGCTGAAGTGGCAGTGGGCCGGCCATATAGCTCGAAGAACTGACAACCGTTGGGGAAGAAAGGTTCTCGAGTGGCAGCCTCGTACTGGTAGGCGAAGTGTAGGGCGACTCCCTACTAGATGGAGTGACGTCTTGGTAAAACATGCAGGAAGTCGATGGATGCAGGTGGCTAAGGACCGTGTTTTGTGGCATTCCTTGTGGGAGGTTCAGCAGTGGACAAATGTAAGGCTGTAATGATGTAGATCGGACAAAAAATTAATATTCAAAAACTGAAGGTCGGGAATTAAGAAGTTAAATTAAATGCGATAAAATCAGTAAAATTTAGTTTGATTTAATTGTAAGTATTTGTTACTTGTTCGTTTAATATGCATTGCTGTATGTACATTTGTGTTCTGTGAATATTTGTTTACAATATTTATACCTGTTTCTATGTAAATGTATGTATTGTTCGAGTAAATAAACATACAATCTATCTGTGATAAGATGATAGGAGTTATTGTCAAATTAATAAATAATAGTATACATCAACCAAAGTACCCAGATGAATTAAAAATAGGTATTGTGAGACCGATTTATAAAAAAGGCAGTCACAGTGATTATGCCAATTACAGACCAATTACTATCCTACCAGTTATTGACAAGATAGTAGAAAAATACGTCTGTAATCAGATACAAGACTTTTACATTAAAAATGACATCTTATCAAACTCACAATATGGTTTCCAACCTAACAAATCTACCTCTAAGCTGCTATCAAAATTTACAAATGATGTAAACAAATTTCTTGATGACAAAAACCACGTTATCCTGCTATTCATAGATTTCAGCAAAGTGTTTGATACGCTTCGACACGATACGCTCTTGACAAAACTAGAGAATACCGGTGTACGTGGCCCGATTTTAAAGTGGTGCAAAGACTACCTCTATAATCCTAAATATAAAGTTAAAATCTGTGATGAAGTTAGTGATGCTATCGATGTTACTGAAGGAACAGCTCAAGGTTCGGTGCTTGGACCCTTGCACTATTTAGCATATGTTAACGATATGGAACATGTCGTCAACCATTGTTCAGTTTATCAATACGCGGACGACACGTGTATTTTGGCTACCAGCAAGGACCTAAAAGAAGCAGCGCAATGGCTACAACAAGATTTTACACAAATATCCAAATGGGCACATAATGCGGGACTTGTCCTGAATGCAAATAAAACCAAAATCATTCACGTTCACTCAAACTATATAAACACAACACTGATTTTAAGGTGGTTGCTCACAGTCACAGATGTCTGCACAAATCAGTTTCATCTAGGGCTTGTAAATGTGAGGCAATCGAACAAGTAACGCATCACACTTACTTAGGATTAATTGTAGATAATAGATTTAGCTGGAGATTTCACATAGATTCTGTCTGTGACAAATTACGAGCTATATTGGCTAAATTCTACATTTTAAAACCTAAAGTACCATATAATATCCTACTCAATATGTATAAAGCCTTAGCTGAGTCAATTATATCATACGGAATTTCAAGTTATGGACGAACCTTTAAGTCATATACCGAAAAAATATATAAACTACAACTAAGATTACTTAAACTTATTGTACCTCAAAAAATAAAACAACAATATAAAGATAACTTATTAGACATTTTCAAATACTGCAATATATTACCCATGCAGATGAAATTTCATCGAACAATTCAATAATAAAATCATCCAAGTGCCCATATCCCATAAAGTAATTACAAGAAATATTACCAAACAAAAATTAAATGTGCCTAGGATCTCAAATTACTATGGTAGGCGAACAATAGAATTTTTAATTCAAACTCTTTTAAATAACATCACGCAAAACATCCAAAAAGAATTAAACACAAAAAACTATAAAGAAAAACTCAAAAAAATACTATTATAATAATATAAAGAACTTTGTCTTATAAAATGAATCAGAATTATAGTTATTATTTAGTTACTTATTAGTGAAACAACCTGTATATAATTAGTAGTATGCACTGTCTAGTCTAGTAGAACAGGTTCCACAACAAAAGCAATGAGCGCTCAAGTCGGTGGCGCTCAATTCCGGAACATCCCAAGTAAAAATTGCAAATGGGTGCTTACCACTTACACAATAAAGGAGGTATATTTTAATGTATATTTTTGATTACTGTTAAGATTAACTAATTATTTAATGTTAAGCAGTGCGGTAGTTGCGAATGTGAGTACCAATACAAACCATTTTTGGTTTAATGGTACAAATAAAAAAAAATATGTATGAACACTTTGATCAATAAATTAAAAAAAAAAAACAGTTATTTATTATTTCACGTTTCTTCTAGGTTTACTACAATTATACCATAGATATATAATATACTGTACATATAGACTAACCTTGCATCTTACTAAGTGGTAGAGTCACGCTGCAGCTATATTATGGTTGTAGCATGAATGGATCGGCTCGACAGGGGTTCGACGACCACGCTCTCACAGAATACCAGCGTAAAATAGCAGCTCAATGCTGCTGTGTTGCGTATGGTGGGTGTAGAGATCCGTGGATCATTTTCACTGGAAACGATGCATTTCAACTTATTCCTTAGAGGTATAACGCGTCTGCATTTTGATTCTTAATCGAAGGTAAATGTTGATGGCTACATTTATCCTCGATTAAAAATCAAAATCTCGTGTAGTGAGTGTAATAAACTGGAGACCGTTTTATCCGGAACCGTGGCATTCCATCTTAGCCCTGACGCCTGACGACGTATCTGCATTTTGATTCGCAAACGAGGATAGATGTAGGTATCTATGGGCCAGTATTCACTTTCTATCAGGTGGACCGTGTGCTTGTTTGTCACCCATAATCTATTAAAAAAAAATGCCTGCGTATCGACTTCGCGCGGCAAACCATCGAACATTGGCTCGCGTGGCAGCCGCCTACAGTGCATATCAAACATCGGCGCGCTCGAACCAATCCGTGTCAGTTTTTGACGGCGCGGCAATGGAATCTCAGTGAGTTGTGCTCGGTGCTCGCGCAGTTGGGACGGTCGTTTACGTATTTTAGTTGGCGCGCGCGGGAAAAACATGGATAACGTTGTAAGTGTCGTACTTTTATTATATGGTAGTAAACAATTTCTATGGAACAGTAAATGTAGTGATTATCACAACAAACCGCTGCACTTCGCCGACGTACAACGTCCATGGTTGCCGCGCACAAAATGAACGCTAGGCTAGAGCAAAAAATATCGTTATACAGGTGTCCCAGTAATGGTGGATAATAATCTGGTACGTACGTGTTCGGACGGGGTGGGAGGTGGCTTCGGTTCCCTAAAAAAAATTCTATCCCGAACGGTTCGCGGTCGTTATATTTAGAATTTCTGCAAAATGAGCTGCCCCATTTATTAGAAGATGAGCCACTAGCCATCCGGCTAAGAATGTGGCTCCAAAATGATGGTTGTCCGGCACATTACGCCGTCCAAGTAAGGAGTTACCTAAACGAAGCCAACCGTGACCGGTGGATCGGCCGAATGGGACCGATATTGTGGCCACCAAGATCACCTGATATTAACCCATTTGATTTTTTGTTGTCTCGCTCACATAGCTTACATTTCGTCCAAACAAGGCGAGCAGGTAGTAAAGTAAAATTTTCAAGGGTGACAAATGTACTTACCTAATAAAGTCATGCAATGTTAAAAAAACTATCTGCCAATAATTTTGTAATGAAATGCCTACTTTTACACATTAACGGCTATAACTCGGTAAATAATGACATTAAGTACATGGTATGCTACTGTTTTAGAATCCTTATGATATAGGCAAACTTTTTAAATGGTTGGCCACACAGATCCTATACGTTTTTTTTCACCACGTCTTGTAAAATACTACCCATAGTAGTTGGAAAAGTTTTAAGGGTAATTTAAAAACATCTTATTAGGGAACACATTAAAAGAAAAAAATCCGATCTAGGCATTAAACTGCGGACGTGATGACCACAAATGTGAGCAGAAGTACTAATTTTCGGAATTTTATAAAACATGGCGTAGACCGCGAACCGTTCGGGATAGAATTTTTTTTTAGAGAACCGAACATCATGCGAATGGTGACAATATATTGATATATTTTTTCCCTTGCTCGTCCCTAATGAACGTTTGTTGGCGGATCGGCTGTCGCGCGCGGCTGCTTCGCTGTAGTTAAATTGTGCGCTAAAATTGGCTTGCGAGCCAAAACACAGGTTTCACAGCGTTATGGCTATGCGGTCGCTTGCGCGCCGTGTCTAGATGTCGAGGCAGCGCCGCCAGGGTTCTCGCTTGCCTGGTTCCTCTCATGATGGCGCTGTGCGTAGCTCTGTCGAGGAGTTGTGACTACCACCACCACTGGCAAGGTAAGCAATTTTACGAGCACTTTTCTACCGACTTCAAAAGGCGGAGGTACTCATTTCGACTGTGTGTTCTTTTTTTATTATATGTGTTACCTCATAACTTTCTTCCGGGTGAATCGATTTCGATGATTCTTTTTTTATTTGAAAGCTGGTGCTTCTCATGTGGTCCCATATAAATTTAGATCAAGAACTGACCAGTAGTATTTGAATTATCCTTAATAATGTATATTGAATTTTACACGTGGTAGAGCCATGCTGTAGCTATATTAGTAGTATAGTTGTAGCACGAATGGGTCGGCTCGACCGGGGAAGGACCACGCTCTCACAGAATACCAGCGTCAAATAGCAGCTTACCGCTGCTGTGTTTCGTATGGTGAGTGTTGAGAACCGGAGACCCCTCTTACTGGAAACGAGGCATTCCATCTTAGTCCTCATGGGTGACAATGCATCTGCATTTTGATTCGCAAGCGAGGATAGATGTAGATGTCTATGAGTCACAGCAACACACTTACCATCAGATGGACTGTGTGCTCGTTTGTCACACTATCCTATAAAAAAAATTGAAGTTGCTTGTACAAAATTTTAAATTATTAACTTATTTATTTGGCATTCTGTACTGACTTATTAGCATTTTGCAATTTCACTTCATGATGATGATATTGCTGACGTTCCCAACATTTTGTAGCTTGTTACATTGACATATTGTAACCAGTTTTACAAGCACTATGTTTATAATTGAATTTATGATATGTAAATTTCTTAAAATAAATAAATATTCAATTAAAGATGTTAAAATTTATTAGCTAAGGCCCACGTTATAAAATAAAATGTTATGTTTTACCTAGTTTGAGGAGCATCTCCCGTTCTCCCTCAATGAGGCCTAATATGTTTTTGCTCACCAGATGTCGCTAGTTAACACTGAGGTAAAGTTTTCTGTTACACAATGTCAGTTAATTGGGAAGTTAGTTTTTAATAAAAGTTTATCAGTTTCTAGAGTATTATATTAATACACAAAACAATGCCTCAGTGGTTAGCTCTTTAATTTTTTGCGCATTTTTAACTTTTGTTTTTTAAATTTTCTACTTTTATGAATATTTGTGGTTTGGTTTATTTATTTTTAATTTTATTAATCTATACAAATAAATAAAATATAAGTGTCTGTTTTTAATGTCAAAATAACATGTTTTTACTGAATGCTATGAAAGTATATACGTTATATACGTTACTTATACAAAAAAAAATTTTTATAAATTTTTGGCTGTCTGTCGGTCTGTCTGTTTGTTCCGGCTAATCTCTGAAATGGCTGGATAGCTGCTGTTATAAGAAGTAACTTAGTCTACTTTTAATTTAGAAAAACAATTGGGGCTCCGCGCAAAAAAATCAAAACCAATGAAATCCAACTGTAATAAGTACCACGCGGACTAAGTCGCGGGAACAGCTAGTATAAAATACAGCTAATAGTACAGAAAGAAACAATAACCTTTACATTTTCCGAACAAATTAACTTCCCCGATGTGAAATCTGTCAAATATTATACCTCACTTTTAAGTGGCGCCGCCCTGGTGGCAGAAAAAGTCGTCGATGTCCTCATTGCGTGCACTATCCCCGTCACCATTCCCAACACCACTACACTAGGAAAGACACGTTGTTCGCCTTTAAACGAGACATCGAGTGAAATGAAATTTTCACCTGAGTATGCCTCATCATATTATAATTTCCGCAAAGTAACGCCCGACTCTATTAATTAAATAGACAATTTCTTATCTTCCAGACATACTCGTTGGCTCGACACTAGGTTTCACAGTGGCGGTGTTCTGCTATCGCTAGTATTACAACCCGCTCACGTCCGAACTCGCAGGCGTGCCCTATATTGTATCCAATTACAATCTAGTCAAATATTTCAACGGCAAACCCGATATAAGTCCAATAAAAGACAGTAAAAATGCCGAATCTACGCCATTGCTAAATGGCGGGAAAAAGGAGGACAAATGGATATGAAAAAAAAAATATCTCACGTAATTTGATATACGATACGTATGCCTGAAACAAAGTTTATCAAAAGATATAATAAAAAAAAAAGAAAATACTAATAAAACAAATACTAGATTAAGTATATTTCTAAACTGAAGATATTTTTTTCAACTTCATTAAATTAAAGCAAACGTCTTCCTTAAAATAAAAATAAAAATATTTCTTCTGATTTTTATAGATTAAACTAGTTGTTAAAGTCTCTAATAACAATAAACAATAAGGGGGAGCGTTCTATACTACTGCCATTCAACAGGGAGAATATTAAACGGAGCTTACTTACCTATATCCAAGGCGACTGGTCCCTCAGGATTCGGTCAGGTCGCATGTGGTTGTGTGGTGCAAGGGAAACAAGGTGCTGTGATGTGTATCTGGGTGTGACTGGTGGTGATTGACCTTATTAGAACTTTGCCGTCGGCAGCAGCCCGGACGTCAGCACCGCTCCAAATTGAGGTAATCTTCCGCGGCGCCGTCCACAGTCACTTTCTTCGTTCGTCACGATGACAGTCCATTAACTCTATCGTACGATTAACTAACTTACAGAAGCCACTAACTCTCGTTTGTTATAAAGCTTAACACACAAAACGAACACGGAGTGTCCGGATCAAAGGTCACTACCGTTTCGCGTGGCAACAGTTATTTCTAGAATATAAGGAATGCGCGTTACAAATCCTATACAGTATATTTACTAGACGCCTAAACTATTCCGCGGTTCCCGCACAAAAATTGACAGCGTGCTGACGTTAGCACAGCTGGCAGACGACTCGTGCGCTCTCGACACATCGCTCGACCGAACGTCAAAACCGGTATGGCGCCGAGCCGAGCGCCCTCTGACGTCAATCCCGAAATCAGCGTTCGGGCGTAAACAAACCCCCGCCCCGGACATAAGGACTTATGTCCGCGAGCAAACTGGCAAGCTGGACAGTGTCGCGACGGCACGTTGCAAGATCGAATCTACACCCAATTCTAGGACACCTTAGGCTCCTCATCAGATCTTGCAACCCTAACCACCGCCTCAAAAAATATCGCCCCAATGTGGGCAAGCCGGAGGGTTGAACTGGATGCCCTTCCTGGACATCGCAGCACATAAATAAGTCCTATTCCTAGACAGAAGTCCGACGACCTCCTTCAAACACCTATCTGTGCCCCTATGATTAGTTCCGCAATCCGACCGGATCAGGTCTGCAAACAGTGACGCGACACGCAGCGGCCCAGAGTGGTCTCTTAAGCTTCAGTGCAGAGAGCACCCCCAAATTCCCCATGAACGTCGTCTGTGGAGAGCCGAACGAAACGCACAGATAGTCCCTAGTATGAATTTTCAACAAGTAGACATAACCAAGCCATCCACCATATAATCATTTACCAAATGGTGCGACAGCTGATTTCCATCTGATAATCTACAAACTGGCTAGCCCTTTAGACAGGTAGTCCTATGCTCATATTTCAACTAATTTTTCAAAAGCATCAATGTCCAACTATAGAATTAATTCAACCAAATTAATTACCGATGCACATAGGTCAACTTGACAAATTAAACAAAACAATAAACGCAAGAGACAGCCCTATTTCTCATTTAAATAACTTAGACAGTGCCAACAAAATGTAAACCAAAGGAGAATCGACTCCCACTCCCTTCGGCACAAATAGGGTTATCTAATTTCAGCCTTCCTTTTCACAAAGCAAAATGATTAAACACTATCACAAAACATATACATAATTTTCCAAATAGCGCGACATTTAATTTCAAATGAATTCAAACTTTCCTTTCAGCAAACAGACGCAACAATCAAATACAATTACAAAGCATACGCACAAGCATTCAAAAGGGCACATAATTCACTTTCAATTTTCCGTGCAACAACAAACACAGTGATTAAATATATTTACAAAACATATGCAGCAGCATTTAAAGGAGTAGATTAAATTCAACTCTTTTAATCACAACCGCTACAAATATGAAAATTTCGCGGAAAACCTAAAAGCATTTTTTTATTTTAATTCAAAGAATTTTTAACTAAGTGCTCGACCAAATCAAATCTAATACCCCTTGACAGCGTGATTCAACGCTCCAGGGGGGCCCTAATCTTCCCACCACCAAATGGAGGCCACACAGCGTGAACCCGAGACCAATAGAGCGCAAACCGCTAACAGTCGCCACTCGGGTTCTACGCCTTCACTGAGGCCGTCGGCAACAGAACATTTTGACAAGTGGACTGTTGATGGCTTAAGGCTCAGTGGAGGCGGCCGTGGTGGGACCTAAGGTGGCAGCTAGCTAGGGCCGTCTCCATCAAATGGGGAACAGTGGTACACCAGTCGCGGCCACTCAGCTAACGGGAGTGAGAAGGGTCTAGCGAACTGATGAGTGGCCGTGAAGTTCCTCTCCACACGTTGAGGGGGGGTGATGACACCCCCGCCCCTAGGGGAATTACCCCCCGACTCGGGGGGGGGACCCCTTTCAAACCTAGGGGCCTGGTGGCTGACCGGCGGGCGCCAAGAGTCGCCCGTCAGAGGGCGTGGCTGAGCGCCCCCGCCCGTGGGGGTCGAGGGCCTGGCAGAGCCCCGAGAGGAGACGCCGTTTGCATCCAGGCATAAAACTGCATGGTGATTGCCCTGGCAATGCAGACAGGGCCGCCGATGCGGACAGTCTCGCTGGAGGTGCCCTTCCAAACATGAGCAGCACCAGCGGCGCTCCTTGGCGATAATTCGCCTCGCTGGAACCGGCTTACCTAATAATTTCGGGCACGACGTTACCCGGTGATCAGATGTTTGACAATAGGAGCAGGGGGGGTTGACGACGACTTGCCCGGCGGATTCAGCCTCTCACTGGGCACGGCTCGTAAGTCGTCAACGGTGCCCGCCGCGTTCTCGATCTGCCGGCACTGCTCCTCCAAAAACCGCAGCAGGTCATAGAAGGGCGGAATATAGGAGGCCTCGTCCCCGCCGTACCTCTCCTCAAAATGTATTCGAAGGTCGAGAGGTAGACGGGACAGCACGATGCGGAGCAACAAAAAGGCCCATTCGCCCACTGGTAAATCCAGCCGCCTCAACGTATTACAGACCACCAAGACTGGATCCAACAGGTACCGGACGTAGTCTGGCCCGGTCACTAAGCAGCGGAAGGCTTAGAAGCTGCTTAACATGTTCGTCCGCAATTCGCCGGACGTTGGCGTATCTTTTGGCTAGGAGGTCCCGAGCAGTCTGGTACACGTCGTCCGACAATCCCAAGTGGCCGACGACACCCAGGGCCTCCCCCTCCAGTGAGGCCAGGAGGTACGCCATCTTTTGGCTCGGGGTCAAGTCACTCCGGGCGTCCACTAGGCTGTCGAAAAGACCAACGAAGGTCAGCCATTCGGAAAGGACCCCGGAGAACCTTGGCAGGTCCAGAGTTGGGAGCCGTCCCAACAGCTCCGGCTGAAGCTGCTTCCGAGAGGACTCGGGCAGGCCACTCATCCGAGCTTCACGCGTCTCCTCGGCATACCTGCCTTCAGCCTCGATCAACTCGTTCGTGAGCGAAAAGAACTGCTCGTAGTCCGCGAAGCAGGAGTCCAGGACTCCCTTTTCCACATCCGAATCCTCGAGCTCAGCGTAAGCTTCCTCCACTGCGGACCTTCGAGCATCGACCTGCTCGAACCGCTTCATCAAGTTATGGACCCTATCCGGTCGACCTATCAAAGCATGGGCGCTTGTGGCCCAGCGTAACTCAGTCCGCAGGCAACGGAGTAGTAGCTTGGGCGATGACATCACTACTAAATACAATTTACGACGCGGCTCGAGCACCAATTACATAAATAACAAATACAAAAAAAATTAACAGTTAACAATTGACGGCTCCGTGGCGCAGTGGCTTAGCAATGAGTTGCTGCGCTGGGGGGCGCGGGTTCGAATCCCGCACGGAACAAGTATTTATATGGCCTATAATTGATTGTTCCGGGTCTGGATGTTTGTCCTTGTAAAATTTGTATTTGTAAATTGCCTCCACGATACAGGAGAAAATCCTAGTGTGGGGGTAACGTTTTTGTAAAAAAATAAAATAAAAAATAAATAAAAGTAAAAGTAAAAAAAAATGCAGTTCCTATCAAATCGAGTTGAATAGAAATTACACAAATACGAATTACTACTTATCAAACCAAATACAAGTTAGCACAAAAGAAAAGACACAAATCAAATTAACAAATAACCAATACTAGTGCGATCAAATCAAGTTAAATTCAGATTGCGCAAATACAAATTACTACTCTTTAGTTCAAATACAAATTACAATACAAACGAAGATACACATCACGGTCGATCAACAAAAAATGCCTAGCTCGGAAATCGACCTTTCGATAAGTAATCCACTACAACTATCCGACAACGATAATTAACCGATTACGTGATAATAACCATCTACCTACATGACGTATATCTCTAGAAAAACTCCCGCTTGCGCAACCTAGGGCGTCGCAATCGCAACTACCCACTAACAACAAAAAAAGGCAAGCAACAAAGCAACAAAAGAAAAGAATTTTAATTTTACGTATTACGGCCGGGCGTGATTGTAGACACAAATTAAACCAATCAAACAAACGCTCCCTGCCACCAAAATTGTTTAATTTTTATCAAACACTATGGTCGGGATCGACCGGGGAATCGAACCCGGAACCACGCTCTGCTACCAGTTTGTTACGGCCTACGGCTGCTCCCCCAAGGGGTCAAATCCTCTGGGGCCCATTCAGCAAAGTTTCAACGAACAGACGTAGGTCGGGCCTCCTAAGGCCAAAGTGGAAAGTCTCTAATTACAATAAACAATAAGGGGGAGC